GTATATTTAAAATATATTATAGACAAGCATTAAAGTTAAAAGATAATATATAATATGCTAGGCCTCTTTCACATAATACGTATAAAACGTATAGCCGTATAGCCCGTATAGCCGTATAGGTACAATGAATAACGTTGGATACAAGATTAACATACCCAAATTTAATCCATTTATCCACGTGCTATCTGTCAGTCTTAATTGAATTTATGTTCGTGGTGCAAGTGCTTAAGTCATAATTATTACGTTTTTTGAAAKTTTACAAGAAATTTCTTATTTATTTTTTTTTTGGTCTATAAATTATTAAAGAATTCCAATGATTAGATTTTTTTTTTTAATTCACAGTAGCATAATAATAAGGTGATAGGTTTTTACATAATATACTCTTAATATACTTTATTCACCGTATTATCAATTCAGAAGTGGTGGATGCTTTACAAGTAATATCAAAGTGTTCATAATGAAGTAGAAGGTATAGAAAGTATAATATTAAAACAATTCGATTAAAATTTTTATTTTTTTTAGTTATGTGAGATAAAATATTTTCTAATCAAATATTCCGTACCAGTTAAGTATTACAAAACTCAAATATTTCATTAGATCAGGTGATAAAAATTGTTGGACCCATTAAATATAATTCTTCAATATAATTGCAATAATGGGGCAGAATAATTGAATATAACTCAAGCAATAAATGTTTATGAAAAATTGGTCTAAAATCTTAATTTAAACAAATGAGAAAAAAATTAGTGTGGAAAAGTGAAAATTCTTCGTATGAAGATACATTTTCAGATCAATAATTAACGTYATAATGCTACTAAGTTCTTGATAATTTAATCTCTAAAATTAAAYACAAATTTGATTTAATCGMTCACAATTATTATTAATGATTTTTAATATCCATAATCTGTAATGTCATATGAAAAATTAAAAAAACACTAGTCTGACTCAGCAATAAATGAATAAAATACAGTTTGGTTGATAATGAACAAATAATAAATACAATAGAATGTTTTAAAGTTTTAAACACCTRGTTAGATGCTAAAATTTGATATCATATTGGTTATATATATATATTTTTTTTTTTTTATGGTTAGGGCTTCGACAACTGAGGTCATTAGCCTGGGGAACTGTAGGGGAAGGTACTGTAAGGTTTTAACTCGTGGGTTTTTTTGGCAGAATTTTGAATGGGCACCCGTGGGTTTCTGCCATGCCCGGTTGGGGGCCGGCGGCCTCTCTCTCCAGACATCGCGAAATGCCCAAAGAGCGATGCCGCCCGTGACCGAGATTCRAACCGGCGACTGCGTGCGTCGCAACCGACGCCTTAGTCCGCTCGGCCACTCCACCCCCATAGTTATATTTATTAAATGCAATTGAATCTTTGGAGCTCAATACAACATACCTAGTATCCATGTTTGTTAATTGCATTTAGTACCTATGTATCTCAATATTCCTGGATTACTATTGCAACAAGTGAACGTGTGCTTAGTAAATTTAAATTAACCAAAATGTATCTACGATCCAGAAAACAATTAAGCAACGCGACAATATGTATTTTACTATTAAAATATTGTATAGATAAATACCGGGTGTATCATTTATACATTCAATAAATAAATATAAATGGTAAAAATAATATTACAGCTTGTTAATATATTAGACATAATTGTAAATAGTTACGATGGTAGATCCTGTGAGGGAGAATATTTTATACTTGCCCGGTTGCCAAATCAATGACCTCTGCAAACTGTACACTTAATTATAGAAGTTAAATTAAATTAAACTTTTTTTTATTAATATTCTTTTCAGAAGTATTTTTATTCGAATCATTATTAAAATTATTTAAACTTTGAATGGTTTTCATGTAGCCGAATTTCGTAAACTTTAAAGTATAACTTTCATGCGTATGTATAATATATATTACTAAAACTTTAATCAAACAATTCTCGATCCCTAATTTTATATCAGAATTAATATCAATGAATTCAGATTATTATGCATGTCAAATTATCATAAGTACCTATATATACTTTGCACTTCTCTACATGGTTTGTCATCCGTAACAAAATATAWTGACTACATTTGACAAATAATGTATTTTTTTTTCTATGGAGGCGTTTCATTCAAAACTAAAACAAAAGATTATATTTCGTGAACAAAACTCACGGCGACGTGTTTATAACCTATCCGTTATTACTATTARACTATAAGAGAATTATTTTTAAAATACGCTCACGCTTAAAAYGGCGTATGATATTGTGAGAATCATAATAATATTATAACATAACCAACCGCAATAATATTGTACTATATTATTATGCTTGCCGAGAAAATGTATCGAGTCTTAAAATAATAATATTCCTCGTCCGTTGTGTTATACGAGAAATAAAAAGTCACTCGAAAAACATGTTATGCCAATTAGGTGTGCGCCGTGGTGACTATCGCCTATATATAACTACACCACGGTATTAATAAGATGATAAACTAATGTTATGATATAATATATAATATTATTATTATTATATTAATTCTTTCACGGGTCCACAGACGATCGTCAGAGACATGATTTGCTGACGAAACGGATAAGGAGATGAATAATTAAAAAAAACAACAACAACAACAACGGAAAAAAACCGCATGTGTCTTGTAGTATTATTATAATACTACACAGGTATTTTAAGCACAATATACGCATAACGTAAAAACCAGTCGTCGTCAGGTGTCGATGAGCTGAGTGATTTTTTTTCGTTGTGTTACCTGTATGGGATTAATTATTGCCTATATTATTAATAATGTTATAAGTTATTTGCTGTTGTAATTATCACAGCATGRCGGCAGTCAGTCGTGAATTTAATGACCGCTGCGGACTTATTATTATTAAGATCAGTACCTTATATAGAATAATGTATAAAATATTCATAACTACACGAAGCGTGTTCAGGAAAAATCTTTCCATACGTTTATTCTAGTAGACTTTACTAAGTACTTTTTATGATTGAGTTGAAATTGTTTGCATTTTTTTCCATGCTATACATTTTAAAAATATCTATGTATCTAGCTTTGAGAAAAAACATTTTTTTTTGATACATTTTTATTTACTTTCCTAAAACCCAAAAATAACAAGTAAAAGTTTATATTGGTTCTTTTTTTTTAAGTTTACTAATAATTTTGAGGTAATTGCAAGAAAAAAATATTACCAAAAATTTTCATCGATCAGATCCCAAGCAATATTTCGAGCTCCCCCATCTCTGAATAATGCAACAATAGTCTAATAGGGTAAAAAATCCATTATAATATTATTATTGGTTTTATTATTATAATATACATTACCCTAGATGCGTTTGTCATCTTTAAATCGTTCCGTATTACCACGGAATCCCACGATTATATATAGGTATAAATATTTATTATTTTGACATTATATACWTGTGTCAAACCTCAAACTCTTTCATCACTTCCTCCGTACGTATTGCTATCAGGTCATCGATCAAGTAAAATAATTTATACTTATATCAATATTTTATTTCCATATTCGATAATTTATACTTTGTATAACTAAACGGCTTGCCTATAATATTATTAAAATCGATTTCCTTCCATATTCGCCCGTTTGATGGTATTTATCTAAATATATCACTGATATATACGTTTAAACAGATAACATATACCACATACCGTTGATATAAATGTATATTGAAATAATATTATAGTGATATGATAATACTTCCGTCATTAAAACCACTTAATTGGTTATATCTTATATATAGTTATATGCAATGAATAGCACCTCATAAAATCATCAAATTTTATTTATAATAAAGTAAATARTACATTTTATTAATCCGTGAATTTCAATTTAATATCGATGTGGTCAACATTTAGAATATTCAATACCTATATAATACAATGTACTCATAATATGTAAAATAAGCTAGGTTTAAATACCTGTAGCATCACAATTATTATTGATTTTTTTTTTGTCAATTTTCGTTTTTGTAAGGGAAAAAAGTAGTGATGACCGAAGGTGGTTTCAAATTTTAAATTTTTAACCAGGTTATTTCTCTTAGATCCACTGTGATTATTTCGTGATCGTAAAAACGAAAAAATCGTAAAAAAATATAAGCAGATAATTTAAAAATYACGATAAAAAATATAATCTATCATCACTCAAAWATTGTGTATACTCAGAGTTTTGCACAAAATCATAAGCGTTAATTTTAAGTTCATATTAGAAAATAATTTCTAATAAGCCCCCCTTTACCACGTTTTCATAATTATATTACTAAATCATTATAGTTAATAATAATGTWATATACAATTGACAATTGTTTAATACACAATATTATATTTGACATATTATACGACAGTTGATAATAAACAAACATAATATTATAATTATTAATATAAAACAGTAAACAATCTAAAATATAAGTAGCCATTTTTTTAGTTTTTGTGAAATATCTACCTTTATTAAAATATAAATTTTTTACTTCTGGAATAGGACATGTTGAGCCAAGGATGAATAGTATTGGCTCCAAAATTAGAGCAAAACGAAATCCAATTTATAAATAATTATAAAAAAAAATAATAAATTAAAAACAATAAAACAATGGTATTTATCAATCGTGTTTTTGTTTTCGTTTTAATTTTTTTTTGGAAAGGGGAAGCTTAAGAACTATAATAGGGGGCTAAGGTACTTTGTATGTGTGAGTAAAATAGTACAACGACGAACCACCTCCACGGATTTCGCCAGCGACAAACACCAGAACACCCCACGCAAGTCAGTCGTGCGTTCACCGTCAGTGCGCGAGTCGCTTTTTCGCGTTTCGGGAAAATATAATATACGTACGCACACATAAACAGTGCTTGGCTGCCGCATAGCGGTGAYGATTTCGATGAATTTTTATTATAGACATATTATAATATTGTATTTTAATAAAATTTAGAATTTATCTTATCATCCAATAGATTTGATTGTTTTTTGTGTTTTTGAGATTCGTTGATTTTTCGGATTTCATCTCGAGTGCCGGCAGTCGTGTTTTGTGTTTATTTTCGTGCTCACGTCATACCCGCAAGCGATTTTAAACATCATTATTGTCATTTTAGATCGTTTTCGTCATTTAACTTTTTTCCACTTCCTCATCCTAGCTGCTGAAAACTTAACAGTGAGACATTTCGAAACAACGATAAATTTATACTATCTCATCGATACCGGGTGAGTTGTAATATACGTCTTATCTATAAAGTATATAGGTATCTGTCTCKAGTATACCTAATATTYATCCATATTATAGAATATTAAAATAATATCATAATTACGARTTATGTGGATGTCACGATACATCAAAATATAAAATAGTATATTATATGTGTAAATAATATACTATAATAATACACTTACGGAAACACGACCTTTATCCCCCGATTTTTCGTATTCTGTACGAGCACAAAATTAAAAAATAAATGTATTTTGACAAAAACTTATTTCATGATTTTACAATAAAATTCGTTTTGCTGACAAACCCTTATAGTAATGGTATGTATAATATGTGTATCCGATGCAATTCTATTAAGATAATGACGACRAAAACGCTTGTTATCTTATATTGAAGATGACAACCGGACGGTATATAGCTAATTATTTTTAAAAATAAAACTCAACACTACTGATTATTCCAATGGTTGCTTTACACGCTATAATTTCAACAATGTACATATATCTACTTACCTACATTTTTTTTTTTTTTGGATCCTTCGAACTAAGTTTCGATAAAAATATTAAAAGTTTTGGTAAGCAGTGCAAAATAACTTAAAGAGTCTTATCACTTTGAGTTTTAAATTCCCCTAGTACTTTTTTAAATTTGATTTGATTGCTCGAGTACAAGCACCATTGTATACTATAATTGTTTTGTTTTCTACTTGTATACATGTCTTGATCAAATAATTATTATASAATAATTAATATGCATAACGCGTATAATAGAATACATCATTTTTCACTTCTTGTAGTGTTGATTAAGCCTTACAAAATAAAATAGTATTAACTACGAAATTCTCAAAGTTATCAGAGTATAGTAATATCTTATAAAGTTACATTAAATTTAAAAACTTATTTTTAGTCTCTTGTTGCAAAACTATAAATGTGAATACTAAATTTTTCTTTATAAAATAGTGTCTCAGAGTAGAATTTTTTTGACAGTTGGTTTATTTTTTTATAAAAAATAAAAATAATAGAAAACATAAATTATTTATTTGAAACAATTTAACGTATTAATAGTGTTGATAAATAAATTATTTAAAATTTTTGAAGCTAATAATTACTATCAATAATATCGAATTATATAATTTAATATAACTTTGTATACTTTAAAATCCAGTATATCAGTGAACATGTAATTTATGATGCTCAAAATAATAGGTAGCTATAATATATATATATAAATATATATAATATACATTAGGGTGTTCCTTAAACTTTTGATTTAAAAAAATGTTTTGTCTCACCCCCTAAATATGTGCGTATATGTATAAAAATGAACTGCAAACAATTTGAAACCAATCGGTTAAGGTTAACCCGTGCCGATGTGTAATTTAAGTTTGAATTCCTTAAATTTTTCAATATTTACGAAAATTTTCCACATTTCCATAAACATGCTGTTAACCTTTAGAAATATCGACATTTTTTATCGTATATTATACATATTACTAAATTTATAATCTGTGTATTAAATAAGAAAAAATATTATCAATTTWCCTATACTATATGGATGTTTATTAAATTGTAATGAATTTATGATATGATTTAACTAAAATAAATTTATGTTTTTAATATCTAATTTTTTTAATACAAATTGCGTAACTAGTTCCTAACAGGTCGATGAATAATAATTTTGTGGTTGTTATTTTTTTCATGGCCAAAAAATAGGAATTAATTTCAAAATATTATTAAATATCACTTTAGACAGAAATTAGTATTGCATTGATTATAATCTTGAAAAATTTAAAATAATTAAATTAATATTAATATTTCAAACATAGTTAAATATACTAAATAACATATCATATATGTGAATTAACCCAATTCTTAGTT